ATCAAGCAGTGACGTACCTTTTGCTCTACTTGCTAAAAACTGATCATCGGTTAGAAAGACACCTTCTTTCCACTTGTTTTGGAAAATGTGGCACCCAAAAATGTCAGAAATGTACCTTTTCACACTGTGGTGCAAGTTGCACACAGTTTCAATCAATAGTTGCAGGGCAATGTAGCAGGGTAATGTGTATTTTTGTCTATTTTCCTTCTTCTTTTTGCAGTGTTGCCACCAATATTTCTACTTTTAGAACAAAGCAATGTAGATGTTGTAGATATTTCATGTTTTACTAACTCCTAAGTAACCAAAGCTATTCATTTCAGTACTGAAATAGAGACAACTTTATCTCAAGTGGCAACAACATGCTTTTACTTTTACACTTTTACTGACTGGCCCATTACAAATGATCACTGAAACAGGCAGGGATGCCACAGTTTTAGCATTTTTTATAATATAAAATTGTTTTCCTACTTGAACTGTGGACTCGTTGCTTCACTGTGCTCGCAGTCTTTGTGCTGAAAGGTTGAAATAGTTTAATGATTCAACTACTCACCATATTTAATCCAGGCATCATTTCCTAACATAAAAGTTGATCATAAAGAAAAGAATTAAACAAATTCCAACTCTGACCTGATGATGGCGTAAGGCATCACTGTGATCTTAACCCTCTCTGTTAGTGGAAAGACATTTAACTACACATTTAATCCCTGAGATATCTTAAATATAGATAAAGAAGTGTAATTTTAACAGCACACTATGTGATAAATGTGTAAAGTTACAGAAATAGTTCTGGGCTCACTGCCCAGACTATCCAATATTTATATTTGTGTTTGTGACTGGATTTTCAAAAACATTTTTTTAAGAACTGTAATTTCTACAATAAACAGTGACAAACAGGAACTTTTCTACCATTTATTTATTTATTATTTAACTACTTTGGTGTAATTTGAGTCGCAGTGGGGAGGTCTTTGTAAGCAGAAAAAGGTGTAAAACCTATTAAAAAAAGGATTAAAAGTTTAAAAATGTATGCCCTCCTTAACATTTTCCAAAGCTGTCCAGTGGGCCGGATTGCAGTCTTTGCTGGGCCGATTCTGGCCCTTGGGCCTTGGGTTTGACACCCTTGGCCTAAGGGAATCAATAAGCTTATTCAATTTCCCTAAACTGAGCATGTATGAAAGTATGTCAGTTTAATGACAATCTAATCGTGGCTTAGATTTAAAGTCAGGCCATCCACTGTGGACAATGATTCTGCAAAGCTGTTGCGCTCTTCTGTTCTACATCGAATGGTAGACAAACCATCCAGCACATTCATACATGGACTATTAAAAATGGCCTGCAATATCCTTTTGAAATGTTTGGGGTTAAAATATACCGTGCACTAAAACATGCAAAAACACCAGCGCGGAAGCAGGATATGTGGTTGTGGCTTTTTCATGAACAAGTAGTAAAGACCATCACCTTTATGCTGTCCAACTTAACCTCACACAAAAAGCACGCACTTTTATAGTAAATAAAGCAGCTCTGCTCTAACATCCCCTCCCTTCGTGTTTCCAGGAGAGTGAGAACCTGGAGAAGGAAAATGCCGCCCTGAGGAAGGAGGTGAAGCAGCTGACAGAGGAGGCCAAGTATCTGTCGTCTGTGCTGAGCAGCCACGAACCTCTGTGCACCGGCCTGGCTCCTCAGACCCCGGACCTCCTCTATCCTCCTCATCACAGCAGCTACAGCACCAGCCAAAAGTTTGGGGTGTATCCAAACTTTTGACTGGCCCTGCACCACCGCCAGCAAATCGCTGTACCACACTACCAGCGCTAACCCCCTCCCCCTCCCAACTGACTACTGAAGATGTACTGCGAAACAGACGACTGACCTCAATGGAGAGAGACTGACTGGAGATATTTCAATCAGTGTTAAAAACCTGATCACAGAGTAACATGACAGACCAACGTGTCTGCCACACATGGCAGCCAAACTGTAATTATTTATTTCGCTTCTGCTCGTCTCTCTGCTTTTCTGATTTATTATCAGTAATCTATCTGTGAACTTAAATGGCTCATTGAGTAGAATTATCAGCCAGTCCATGTTTACACAGAGTGAAGAACCAACCTAGTATATAAATGTTGAAGTGACTCAGGCGATATTTTTGTAAATTGCATACTTTTAGTGTGAAGGAGAGCCACCTTTATCATCTCACCCACCTTGTTTTGTTTTTGTTTTTTCGTTTTGTTTTTGTTTTTTGTGTTGTTCACTGTTTTAGTGTGTTACTGTTGATTGCTAATTCTCAGGACCTTTTGACAGATTTGATTGTGGACAAAGAGAATGTAAAGTCAAGATCCTAAGAAAAGAGGTTTTTCAGACTGTGTACCAAAAAAAAAAAGCAATTGTTGATGATGAAGAATTGGAACCTGGCGTTCAAAAGGTCTTGACTTCTGTTGATAAAGCTGATATGTGAGAAGAGCCAGCTGATCTATTTATTAAATGTAATGCCTTTTAGGATGATCACTGTGACCTCTTTTTTCTTTAAGACAGCAGTGTGTGACACCACCAGTGGTGCTGTGGTGTCACAGGAGCTTGTGACAGCATCCTGGAGGTCCCTAGATGGCACTGTTTACCAGAATGAGATGCACGATTAAAGTAGCTTATATTAAGGAGAACATAGTATTTTGAAACCTTCCCTGTATAACTTTACTTTTTAAAAACTTTGTGAGTGTGTGTGTGAGTGTGTGTCCTGGAGCACAGCTGAGCCTCTCGTGTCACCTCTCAGCCAGTTATTTCATAACTGCCTGCCCAAAATAAATGATGTTATCTGCAATGCTTTTAGAGTAAACAACTGCAATAAAAGTGATGATTACCAGCATGTTTTATAGTTCACACACTACTAAGATACCAGAGAACAAATGACGCGCAATTACGCGCGTTAGTGTCTATAATCTCGATGTTACAGCGTGTTCAGATACCACGAAGAGAGAGAAGAGTTTTATCTAATAACTCCGCCCTTGTGCATGAGCTTACCGAGTTCGTTTCAAGATCCCAACGCGGTCTTTTAAGTCCGGGTGGAGGGTTATTGTAGCCGGCTCTCCGACACGTGGTACCGATCGGGAAACTAAACTTCAGATAACTATTAATCTGGCATTAAATCATCTGCAGCTCAAAGTTTGTTAACTTTCTCAGGATCTGGGTGAAAGTTCGGGTACCAAAAATATCTTCAGTGCTCAGCCGGGAGGAAATGAACCCATAGATTTTGGAGACAGCCGCAAAACATTGGAAGCTCGCCTCTTTTTAAAACTTTTTCTCTTTCTAAGCATATATATTTATGTCAAACAGAGTGGAAAGGGAGCTTCTGCTGCTGAATACATATCGTGTTAGGTCTGACTGTCGTGTACGTTAGACTTTCCCAAAGCGCTGAATGTTCCTCAATGAAAAAAGAGCGAATTCAGGTTCTTTCACTTTTGTTGAGTGTGGGTTAACAAAACCACAGCAGCTGTGTGCCAAGTTTATTCCCGATGAGTATTACTGAGGAGACTTAGAGGAACATGAGTGAGAAACAAGCGCTGGAAGACACTAAACCAAACGAGGATCAGAGTGTGTGGAAGGCGGACTCTGACAACCATGTCAAGCTGGAGGGGGGCGACGCTGCGAAGCCCAGCGACGTCTCAAGTGAAGGGAACGGCAGCGAAGGACTGCAAGCTACCCGTCTTTACCACCGACGATGGGTGATCGTCTTCTTGTTCAGCTTATATTCGCTGAGCAACTCTTACCAATGGATACAGTACAGCATTATCAGCAACATTTTCACCAAGTTCTACAGCGTCGATGATTTCACCATAGACTGGATGTCTATGATCTACATGCTCACATACATTCCCTTCATCTTCCCGGTAACCTGGCTGCTGGACAAAAAAGGGCTCCGGGTCATCGCCCTCGTCGCCACGGCGCTCAACTGCGCGGGGACGTGGATCAAAGTGGCCAGCGTCAGACCCAACCTGTTCTACGTGACATTCCTGGGACAGTTTTGCTGCTCTTTCGCGCAGGTCTTCATCCTCGGGATGCCATCTAGAATCGCGTCGGTGTGGTTTGGTTCAGAGGAAGTGTCCACTGCATGCTCCATCGGAGTCTTCGGGAATCAGGTAAGGTGTTCGATGCAAAGGTCGTCCTATAGTTGGAAAGTAGGTTAAATTAACGTTTAACCTACTTGAGAATGTATGGATCCTATGTGTAGGCTAATAATGCTAATAACTTGGACCCTGCCATATCTCCAAGCACGTTTGCGTAATTACGCACGTTTAAGTGACCATAGTGCATCACCAAGCAACAGTACTGGATGCTGTGGATGTGGGACAGCAACAATGCACACGGCGTGGACTGACATGCAAGACAAAACAAAGAGCTACAACAACAAAAACTATGTGTCCTAATTTATATGTAACTTTTTAATGAGAGACAAAAAGTTTCCCAGACTCCTCCACTTTCAGGAGAGTAATAGTAATGGTAATAGTAATCCCCATCCCCATCCCAAAAGACAACAACTA